ATATTTTTTTTTTTAAAATTAGTCTTCCATAACTTATTACAAAAAATCTAGCATATAAATTGAAAAGCTAAGTGTAGAAGAGCCGACTGATCATAAACACAAGTTATATACTTATGATTATTTCAACATGGGAAGCCACAGACACAATCGGATCGCTTCTGAGAGTCCTCAGAAGAAACTAATTTCCCCTTTAAAACAAAAACCTATATGGTTCTTTGAGATTTTACTCTGATTATTTCCAGTGATCTCTATTATTGAAAAACTTTGGACCCATGCATCTAAATAGATTTAGCAACAAGCAGAAATACTGCATTGTAACTCTTAGAGAGAAGTCAGTCTTATATTGTATGCACAACCAGTCATATCTGAATAGCAAGATAAATATACCTTGAGATAAAAACATGAAGATAAATTTAAGAGTACAGAATAAATGTAGGGTACAATATAAGTGTTTGGTTTTTTTTTAACTTGTTCAAAAAAACAAAACAAAAATCAGAGTTTATTTTTAAATAGGGTAAAAGATTATAACACTGTGAAGTACTCAATGTAGTGCAACAGATTGCAGATGACCTACTTCTCTAGATCAATATGATACGCACACACATAAAGATAATGTTTAAGATAATAAACGTCCAGAGTCTGAGGTTAAGATAAAAGACAACTAAACCCTCATGATGTGAAATGGGGGGTGGGGGGGGGCGCGGGCAGAAACAGAAGTTTAAACCGTCTTTTGGATTTGTTGTATAAACAGTTGCCAATCTACACATACAGAATGGGTGAGCCTTTGTTGAATATTTATTTTAGAATACAAAACCATAAAGGAAGAATTTAATTGCATTTGTCAACCATTTGTTCTATAGCATAAAATAAAGGAAGAAATCAAAACCAGCTGATTGCTGACAAAAAGATTTAACTTGTAAAATAAAGCATACACCTCACCTGTTACTCCACATAAACTTTTATCTGCATGACATCATATCTCACACACACAAATCTATTTCATACATTTGATCAAGGAATCAAAGAGTTCAGAATGGTATGATTAATTTACATTTGGAAAAGAAAAAATTGAAGGCATGCTATTAAAAGCACTTACATGACTTTAAGGAGAATACCTCCCCCCCACCCCAAACTGAATAAACCCTTCCTTCCCCCACTAATTCATTAAGAAAAAAAAAAAAAGATGCCAAAATGATCTTTGGATATTTTATAAGAGATAATACTAACAGACACTGGCTTTGTACCAAAAAGCCCATTAAACTATGGTGGTGGGAAAATCAGCAAAACACCAAAAAAACCCCCAAAACACAGGCTACACTTGCAAGAAGAAATTAAACTGGACAAAACTCCATTGGACTGCAAAACACCTTCTCAGATTCCAGTAATAACAATGTAAATACTTCAGTATGCAGTTTATTTAAGAAAAAGAAAAAATGTATACATAGACAAGCAATCAATCATTTCACTTACTTGTAAACCACTTGATTTTAGAAGTCAATACATATTGTAAAAAAAAAAATATTTACCCAATTTATGAAATATGCCTGGATAAATTTAACAACTTCAAGTGTAACCAACAAACTGATTGGAATAAGATTATTGAAGAGAATGATAAAAGTCAAGAAATTCAATCCAAAGTTACTTGCTCCACCATCTGCCAAAAAAACCAAAGCAAATAAAAAACCATTTAAGACCATATATAAAAGTAGGTATATACAATGTATTCAGAGTATTGCATTAATTGCTGATTTTTGAAGTGTTCTGTGTCTAAAGAAGAAACTTGAGAATTAATTACAATATCACTTGCCTATAAATATGACCTTGATAAGAGTTAAGGATTCCTATAATAAAATGGAGTTCAAATTTAGAAATCTTTGTGATCTTCTCCAATTTCAGAAAAGCAAATTTACCAGCCATTCCCACTTTTGCTACATTTTAAGATCATAATCTGGGAATATCTATATATAGCAACAAAATTCGAATTCTAAATGTTAGGAGTTTTATATTTTTAAAGAGGGAAATGTGGAGTGGAATTAATTTTTTCCTCTATCCACCCTCACACCTTCCTATTCCTCCCCCCAACCCAGCAAAATACTACGGAAAAGGTAAATTCATACCACATGAAAAGACAAGACCAAATTAGAGCGTTTCATGAAAGTTCTAAAAGAACTGGAAATGTGAATATTAACATATATGACAAGCAGTTTTATACTACTTTTTCCTTTTAAAGTTTTAGATAACTCCAGTAGTAGCACCTCAGAGAGGATAATAGCAGTCTGCTCTCCAGCACAGGGAAAGGACAGAAGATGTAGCCAGCCTGTCTGTACTCAAAGGTCTCTTAATGAAAAACAGCCTCAGGCAGGTTTCCACTGCCTGTGGAATGTGGATCTGCTTGTTACTCTAATATCCACGAGGGCAGGTTTTGGATACTTTCATTAATAGCAATTCCAGCATCAAATGAAGAACAAGTCTAAAAGACCAGAGAGCTAACATTCACCATGACATTGATATCTGCAATAATGATTACCTATTGCTACCTGTAAATAAAATAATATTCAGATATTTATTGTTATCACTATCACTTTTTTATCATCCACAGGCAACAGATTGCTCTAAATACTAACAGCATTCAGAAAGATGTGGTACTGCTGGGAACCTGTTTCACTACCACATAAAAATTAAATAACTAAAGGGAAAAGGGAATAAATTATTTCTTACATTTTAAAAGTACCTGCTACAAGAACAACTATGAGCTGAATGCCTTAAAGCGTATACCTTACAAAACCCAACACAATTTCATTTAATCACGGGGCATGTATCAGAAAATAAACTGACAAGGATAATCACTTGAAGAACACGCAAAATACCAGTGCTCACTGTTTCATGTTTCTTTTTTTCAGGAATAAAACCAAAAGCTTCTGAAGGGCTTCACCACTACTGTGCTAACCACCATATTCTGAAAACTTTTACATTTTCCAGAAAAGAAAAAAAACAAAGCAAACAAAAACAAACACTGAAAAGAATCAGATGAAAAATAATAAATGATGAAACTCATCTAATGTCATCCTTTTATATTACTGGAAACTCAATATTCCATTAATGATTTCACTTTTTTCTATCTCAAGACAGAAATACAAAAGTTAAGTTTCTTCCTTTAAAAAAAAACAGAAAAAAGTTTCGTAGCATCAAAAAGAGGAGAAGCAAGATTTTTCAATAAACAAAAATTCATCACAAATGCAGACAACTGTTTTGTTCAACAGAAACTTTAGGAGAGTGCCTTCAAACCAGATTCTAAGATTTTTCTTTTAAAACTGACCAAACCACTCCATAATCCCTACTAGGATAACTACATTCAGCAGCTTTATATTCAAGACTGTTTCAGGAGCAGAAAGCCTAGTTCTGATTTTACTGTCTAAGTAAAGAAGGCTTTAGACACACTGTAAGAAATGCTGAAAACATGAATAATTGACCATAAAGTATATTTATGAAACCTTCCTTTAAATCTAGTTCCCTCACTGAGGGGTCAAATTATGTCAATGTGTTGCATGGTGCTGTGAAGGCCCACATAACATCACATTGCCTTGCAATAGTGAGTACAGCTGCCCAGTATAATATGTTAGATGAGATCTTTTGTGCCTGCTTTATCCTCATTAGGAGCAGTCTGCTAAGATCTGAAGTTGGCGGCCAATAATTAGTTAGATTCCTTAGTTAGATGTAAGTTAGATGATAGCAAAAATTATAAAACCACAGCATCATTTCCTGGGATGAGGGAGCTTAAAAATTCAGAAAAAAGTCACCGCAACTTTAAATGTAATCCATCAGCAATAGCTGAAAATAGCTTTAGTCTGATGTCTAAGAAGCCGACTGTTTACACCACTGGAATGCTGATACAGAACATGTTGAGCTGCAGAGATGTAGAGGTTGAAAGATGTAGGGGTAAACAACAAAGCTCCCTTTCCTGCATTTAGCAAGAGCTCAGATGGCACAGTAAGGTAAATTTTACACTTGCTGTGATATACCTTGCCTAATGACTTTAGTCAACAGCCAGTAAAGAAAGACTGGTAAAAAACACACTGTGTAAAGGATGGTAATCATTCTCCTTTCCAAATATGAAAGACAACTGCACACCAAAACATTAACATATTATTTTACATCTTACAATTTAGATCAAGATACCAGTCTCTTCCAGTATGCCTTCGATTCCATATAGCTGTACCAATAGAGCAGATCAAAGACATGGCAATAAGGATGCAGAACAGAATCAAAATCTGAATATTTGTAATTCGTTCCACATTAGACATTTTAAGGGGTGGACTTGTTGAATTCTGCAAAAGACAATAAAGAACAGTGGCTATTAAGTATTAGAAGAGGTATACACAGTTCTCGCTTTTCAAATTAAATGCTACTGCACCTTTTTCTAAATATGGTGCCAAATATATCATAATCATAAATGGCATAACTGTTTTACTCAAAAAAAAAAGGCAGCAGCTTACAAATTCATAAATTTTAGAGCTTTAGATTTGAGTCACAAGCAGTTTAAACAATCACACAGAACATTTGTAACAGCAACAGCTAACAGTAAACATTAAAAATGAATGTGAACACACCTTATTAGTGCTATAGAAGACAACTGCTAATACAAACTTTTTCAAATAACTGTGTTACAAACCAAAAAAGCAATAAATAAGAGACATGCATGATCAATCTGAAAGCATTTTTTTTAAACAAATGCCCCTCAATTTGATATTTTGAATAGCATTGGAAAAAGTAATTTCATAGTCTGAGAATGGTTTTCTTCCCTCCTCGTTTTGCAAATAAAGTTTCACTTTGTTTTCTGACAAGAATGCTTACCTTTGCACTTGAAAGAAAGCTCCACAAGAGGACAGTTTTAGGAGCAGTCAAAAATAAAAAAAGATGAACAGGCAAGCTATAATAATCCAACTTGCTAATAAAATAGCTTTCAAAACACAAGTTACAAAATAGAATCAACAAATATGCTTGCTAATAGAAAAACTACTCTGTGGCTAAGTGACTAACAAGAAATGGCTTTATTTTTATTGGTTTTACTTCATAAGAAAAATGCTCCATTACTGACATTTTAACTACTATATTCAATCTAGCCAAGTTTTCTGAAAGCATCTTCTGTGCTGTGTAATGGCATAATAAGGTAACAAAACAGATAATTTAGAGAAAATCCAAGTGACAAACCTGCATAAGTTTTGTGTCATGTCCCGTATAGACAACTATCCCATGAACCCACTGAGTGTTTCTCAACTGAGCTCCTCGTAGAAGAATCTGATCAGATCCCAACGGAACAGTACTAGAAGGAAGGAGTTTTATATTTTAGGATTAAAACAGTATATGTCAGTGAATAAACGTAACCAGCAGTTGTTAAAACTAATTTCTCAAAAATTAGATGATTACTGTAAATATGCTAGGAGCCTCATTTTCACAATTAACTTTTTGGGAGTGTTGACAGAGAAAACTTGACAGTTGAAAGCAAGTCCAAAAATTTAGGTTTCCAAACATATTACTTATCACTTAATTTTGACTACGGACACTAAATATACGGTATTACTTAGCAAGCATACTGAAACTAACAAAGGCCAACCTTTCCTGTGATTTATGATTATGAAGTTTTCTCCTAAGTGTATGTGGAAACTCAACTACTCTTACAACATTGATTTTCCAAAGCAATTTTCAAATGAAATTATTTTCTGAACTCTCAACTTAATCCACTCTTCCACTGCAATAAAAATCTTTTATGAACATGATTAACAGTATTTCCTGCACCTTCTTTAAATTGCAAAACCAGGTATATTTACTTGTGTTACTCTTTTAGAACTGCACTGAGTAAAGGAGCAACAAAACCTCAAAAGACATTGGAAACATTTAATTGTCTTAAATTCAGACAGCTGACATTATACATATACTGTAGCTCAAGTTTTTCTTAAAATATAAACATCTTAGATAATAATTACTCTTTTGCTGGGACAAACAATACCCTATTTTGGCACTTTTCTTTCTATAAATACCAAATAGCAGTTCAGACTTGTCAATAGTATTCTGGTGTTTGGCATTCTTACCTAAAACTATTTTCTCTACAGTTGTTTGAAACCAACACATTATTAAGATCACAAATTGCTTAATGACACCAACTCTACCTCTGATATATAAGCTATAAAGAGTCTAAGGAAGCCATGATATTTGGTAACATTTCTGGTAGCACAAAGAGCATAACATCAGTCTTAGTGAGTAAGTTTCAGGTAATTTCTTTGGATCATCATGTCCCCTTCCTTCCTCTCATACAAAAGCTTTTAAAATTCAAAGGCTGCAAGTGAAGAGGAAACAATACATTCTTCCTCCCCTGAAATCAACAGCAGCAGTACAGGTTTTTGGAATCAGTTCTTGCAGAAACTAGAAAAAAAAAAATCTGGAAAAGTATTTTTTTCTGAGCCATTGACTAATCATAATTTAAAATTTATCCAGGCCAAAGAACATTTCTCCATTCTCTAGCTAATTGTCTTCACTGACTAAAACCAAGTGACATGCTTCTGTATATTCATCAGCATAACAAAGAGCTGCACACTTTGGAGATAAGAGTTAACTCACTCAAAAGATGAGGACACCAAGAAAACTTTTTGGCCTCTTTTAGTTGCTAGATTCAGCCAAAAGGCAAAATAACGTAGTGGAGTTTTACCTCCTTGAATACTGAGTATCCAAAAGAAAAAAAAAAGAACCTTTTTTTTTTTTTTTGAGTTGCTCTCCCATGAAGGGAAAAAGACTGCAAAGGTCAACCAGATACAACATTTATGGCACTCCAATGCGTTATCTAAAGGGAAAGAAGAAGTAAGAGGGAGATACATTTTCAGTATCCTCTATTGCTTTTGCAAAAATGTTAAGATGATAGTGGATTAAGTGGAAATCACAGCTTCTGGACCTAGATAATCTGGTAGGCAGGTCTTAAAGATCTGCATAAATAAATACCAGTTAGATTCTATGATACCTCTAATATGGGCAGAAAGAGAAATCCCTGATTTTTCAGGTTGGAAATAAGGTTAGGATCCAAAAAGAGTTACTTACCTGCAATTCTTTTTCACTGAAGGTAAATATTATATTAGAGCCACACTTTTGGAACTATCCTACTGCACAGGAACTATATTCAAAATATTCCAAAACTGAATTTCCCAAGTGACAAATTGCTTGACCAGCAGATGGCACATTCCTACACATTCTTGAGGCATAATAGCCATCAGCACATTCAATGTTTCTTTTTTTAAAATCAAATTTTAAAATTAAATAATTAGATTAAAAAGAAAAATACGTTTTCCCCTCTAGCCAGGGAGGAAGGATGAATGTGTGGATCTATTATAACTATTACCTTCAGAGAAGAATTACAGGTAAATGTTTTTCTCTTCTTAACGACAAGTACAGTGGAATTATAATAGATCCACACTCTTGCGATTGAAAATTCCCGGTATGCATCTGTAAGAAATTAGTAAATAAAAAATGGAATATAAAAAAAGTATTTAATAATTAGTTAGTACTATATATGTCAGTCTAAAACCACAAACATGAATAATGTTGTCTATGGAGAAATAAATGCCTACTAAAATAAAAATGAAATCCTGTAAATCTTTGGGAATGAAGGACTCAGCAATTCTGGATCTAGTAATGACTGTTATACTCACATTTGGTTTGAACCCACAGAAGACTCCAAATATCACTATTTGGTAAGCACTTAAGTATTTTAAGAATTTTTGAAGCAGTTTTACAAGCATGTATGTTGTTATTGCACAGAGGCAGTCTATTCTTACAGATACATACTGTCAATAAGCTATTAAATGTCTTTCAGCTACCAGATTAGAAGAATTTGAGGTATATAGTGATGGACTCAGTTCCACTTCAGACTTAGAAAATCAGAAGAAAACAACAATAAAAAAACAGACAAGAAACTACTTTTATTCAGCTTCCATAACTCAAACTTAAGAGGCAAGGAAGGAGATGCTTAAGTAGTGAGTTACTAAGTACATATTCCAGAACTACTACAATTGGATTAGCACTCCCTTCTATATTAATAGTTATTGCTTTCTGAAGGTCAACTACTATAAAAACTCAAGTTGTAGACATTAGGTTTTAGTCCTCTAGTTTTTTAAAAGAACAAGGGCTAATGAAGAATGCATCAGAAAAGATGTTTATGTCTTTAGTCTTAACAGAATAGAGAATTTACTATCTGTATTTTAACTTAGGTAGTCTAACATCATACTGCTATTTACTGATAGATTTAATCTCCTGAGATGATCTTCCTTGGATTTACATACCCATGCCCGTCCAGTCTGATGTTTCCAACAAAGTCATAGAGATGTCGGTTTGGGCTCTCGCATTCAACTCTGCCTGAAAGTCTCATCAAGCTTTCTATGTCCTTTATGTCTGATGTTAGTGGCAAACCCTGTAAACAAAATTTGTTTATCATGACATTAAAATAACTTTCTAATATATAAATCTATGTATTACAAATCTGGTAGTGCAACTCCAGAAAAACAGTTTCCCTGTGGGAGCAAAACGGGACCGCTACACTTTGCTGTCATACTGCTAGATGCTAGAGACAGTGAAAAAGTCACCTTGGTATCTTAAAACATCATGATGAAGACAGGGTCATCACCAATCGTACAGCTCAGCAAGAATGTCCCTGCATACAGACAGCACACTCAGTCAAAAACTTCTATTCCCTACCTGCCCCTCAAGGACAATACCAGCACTATCAGCTTCTTTCTGCAGGGCTCCTCCCTCCACTATCCTCTAAAAAAAAAAACCAACCCCATTACTCAAACTACGAACATTTCTACTTATTTTCTCAAAGAAAAATCCTAAAACAAAGCACATGGCATGGCTTAGGAGTAACCATTCATTCCTTCCACTTGATTAATTGAACAAAACTTTTATGATGGCAATAACCTGCAGCTTTTTATTCAAATCACTAAAATTTCAGTCTTCCAAAATGGCCATTGATGTCATAAAATGTTTTTATAAGCAATAATAGATGAAAAAATATTAGCAATATTCTCAAAAATTAAATTCCTACCTGTCGAATTTTTAAGTTTGTCTCACCATCTAAGTTAGATGTTTCGATGTAGCACATAGCTTGCGGTTCACTATTAAGAAAAAAAAATCCTTGATTTTTAATTATAATGTCAAAATCCATGAACTTTCTGTAATCTTTTAATGCCTATTTATGCAATCAGGTTTTTCTTTTTCTTATCAAATCTTCAGAACTAGAATAATTTACAGCCAAATCTGTAAAAACCAACAGTACTTTACATTTTCAGAAAAGTTTGCCAAAACCTATCTTAGAGGATACACTGCTAAAAATGCTGTACACGGCAAAAGTTTTCTGTGCTTTTACATGAGATTAAGATACAGTCACAAAGGTAGTGCATTCCTAGTGCCTACTACTGTAGGCAGCAGTAGTTTAGACATGAAAGTTTTCTTGTAAAGGGTTCTCTTAGGAAAAAAAAGTTGAAATTATGGATAACATAATGCAGTTTTTGAAATATACGTCCTCTATGGAATTTAAAAAGCTTTTTTATATATTAAAAATTTTAAGTTTATGCAGAGCATTACTACTTGAATAGTTCACCTATTTGACACATACTGATAAATGGCTTATTCCTTGCATTCAGTTTTTTCAATACAATTTTTTCATGTGTAACATAGCAGCAATTTTATATTTTGTAAAATACTTTTGGACTTTAAATTGTACTACAACCATTATATAACTGTTAACAAGGAAAACAGAGACACAGAAGGACAAAATGACTTTTCTGCAAGTAGATAGTAAACAAGAACAGGTCTAACAGGTCAGGATTTCTGAATTACTCCAGTCAGCTCCCACTTTCTGGACATAAGGACAGAACACCTACTACTTGTATCTACGATAGAAGTTTTACTTTGTAAAGGACCAAATGAGTCATAAGCCCCCCTTACAACTTAAAAGAAAAAAGGTTTACTTTATACACCTCTTTAAAGAGTCTAATATTCTCTGTCTTTCTAGTATGAAATTCAAGCATCAAGTGTTTTTTAAAATTTTCTTAATGCAACAATGGCTACCGATAAGCAACTTAGTTCTAGAGTGTTTGCAGGATAAAGTTAAATAGGTTATTCTGACACATTTTTTGTAAAGCAAATGCATGAAAATGTGATACATCATTATTATAAATTCCTTTTGGGCTAGTATTTTCTTTTTGGCAAACTTTTGTAAAAATGTAAATAACTTCTACTTAGATTGTTTAAATGGAATCACCTGTATAAACCTTTATTGCAATTCCAGAATTTTTATTAGTTAATAATATAACACAAACAATATTTTTGTGAAGCACTTTTAATCAGACTAAGGCAGCAAAGACATTTCAAGTGAGACACATGCTTAATTGCAATTACTGTAGCAGATAGCAGTGACCTCCAAAGTAAATAAGTTAGTTAGATCAAGGCAGGCCCATTGATTTGTTAGGGAAAAACAAAGTGCGGTAACAGTGCAGACAATAGCATAAAGCTGACGTGTCTAAGAAACATGCATTTTGTCACAATACACAAGAACAGCGCTGCTTTTGCCATTGCATGCAGCAGAGATTGTGCAACATCCAAGTTTGTGCAGAGGGTCCTCTGCCAGTCCTACCAATATTAAACTATATTCTTTGCTGAAAATAGTGGGTTGTTATAAACATGTATATTCTTCTTAATTTGCTCTAAGGCATTAAACATGTATTTATCCTGGTGTTTTACTGTGTGTTTATTCAATGATAACTTGTCTGATAAAATTTCATGGGGATAGTGTAAAAACAAAGAGGACAAACAAATTTTCATTTCTTGAAGTGTTAGCGTGGATTCACACTTTAATGATCTGTACTTTTATCAATTGAACCCTTTCTAATTTTATAAAAGTCCGTCAAAGAAAGGTGAACAGCAAAGCAAAGATTATCAACACAGCAGTGTTCTTCATATTTGGCATATGAGGACCCACGTACACGTATCCTGTGCAACTAGTTTATTCTAACCTTGATGACAGACTGATGAGATCAGCTGGGAGATGTTCCCCATTGGTCACTTTCACTACTTCCCCTACTGCCACCTACACATCCCAGTTTGAAAATGATTAGAACAGAAAAATAAGTGACAGGGAAAAAAACAAAAACCAAACCAAACAAATGGACAAAGACAAAAAGACAGAGTTTGAAATTATTATACAAACAGTACATGTTAATTAAAATGTCTGATGACAATTTTTTCAAAATCTATTTTCATCAGGTCAGGAAGAAAAGAGCTAGCATATTTTTATTTTTACTCGAGTAGACCGTTTTACTGTAAGGCACCAATTTTAAGGAGCAGAGCATACTAATCTTGTACAGTAAAAATAAAAGCTGTTATGCTCCTTTCTCAACCAACAAAGTTTCTAGCCACTTCATACATTAATCAAAAAAAAAAAAGCCACAATAAAAGATTTTCCACCAACTTTTCAGAAAAGTCAGGTGACAAGTACCTTTCTATGTAGACATGCCAAAAATGATTTTGTGTTTTGTTTCAGCTTTGTAACTTTCAATTTACAGTGAATTAGCAAGAACCAAACAGAACTAAACCTCAGAGGTTTGTGTCCTTCCACTGTAAGAGATTATAGTTTCCTAAAATAATTAAAATCCTCTTATTCTCCAGAAACTGCTATTGTTGGTAAAAAGAACCAAATATTATCAGTTTGAATTAAAACCAGGCACATGGGCTTGCATTGCTATTGAAGCCTAAAATGTAACTGGGCATCAACTGGAAAGCAAAACTGATGAGACTGTCTTCCACATGGCCATGTGGAGAAGGAGAGCACGTGCCAGTATGCAGGCAGAATTAGCAGGAGGAGGGCTGCAACAGGAGCCTAGTAATATAACTAAGAAGGAAGTTTTAGCTGGAAGAAATGCCTGAACTGGGCCCAGAAAAGCTTTCACGATTTGAAGAGTCCCCTTTGCAAACTGGATCCTACAAGAAAGCCTGACAGGGAAATTTAAGGGGAGTGATGGTCATAGTTAGGATACTGTGTTCTGACAAGGACAGTAAAGTGAAGTTAAACAAAGAGGTAACAGTTCTGACAAATCCAGTAGCAGCTGACTTATTTCAATTTATCAACACGTGATGTAGGATTCCTTCAGGGGGAACAAGGCTCAGAAAGAAGGCTTTGTAGGCACTTGGTATTCTGTATGCAAACTACAACTGGGGAACATTGCAGCGCAAGCGTCCTCCAAATCCAAAAGGGCAAAACAGTGAAGACATCTAGGCAAAGACTCAAATTTAGGAGCTTACTCAGGAAGTTTATAAAGAAGCTGCTCTGAGAGGATGTAATCTGTTTTGCTTGCAAAACACTATGGTCAGCATGACAGAAGCTATTATCGGGCAACAGAACAAGCGTTCTTGCTGCATAGTGCATTGCCTACGAAGGCCTTGGAGGAAAAGCACCAATAAAATTTGTAAATGCTTCCCAAAGTGCAGATGTAAAAAGTGTGTAGAGGATACTCAATAAAAAACCACCTTAAGTTATGACAAACAG